ATCCTCTCATCATTGATGTTTCTATCTCTCTCTCCCCCTTCCTCTCTGAAATCAATAAAAAAATATTTTTTTTAAAAAAAAGGAGTTTTGATATATAATATCAATTTGCTTTCTGGAAAAGTATGCCAACTTATGACCAGGTGTGTCTGAAGGACTGTTCCCCACACCTTTATCTAACACCCAGCACTGGGTACTATCATTTTTAAAGTTTTGGGGGCATTGGGTTGGTTCACAGGCAGTAGAAAGCACCATGGAATCAGACCTGGGTTCCAAGTGGCTCCGATACCTCCTAGTTATATAACATCAAATAAATGTCCCTCGGTTGTCTCATCTGGTAGATGGAGATCAATCCACACTTTCCAGGATCGTTATAAGCAAGGGGTAAAGTCCTTAGGCTGGTTAGCTGGTAAGACGCCCACAGGAAGCACTCAGTAAAGATCAGCTATAATTTTAAATACAGTGACTCTGGCCTGGTAGCTCAATTGGTCAGAGCGTCGTCCCGATATGTGAAAGTTGTGGGTTCAATCCCCAGTCCAGGCACATACAGGACTCAACCCATGAATGCATAAATGGGTGGAACAAGTTTCTCTCTCTCTCTTTCTCTCAAATGAATAAATAAAATTTAAAAATAAATTATTTTAAAAAGTTATAATTACACAGATGATGGGTGAGTGATCTTACTTTTCTGAGCCTATTTCTGAGTGGGGATTTTTCACCCTTGTGAAGCCTGAGAGGGAGAAGTTAAAAAGATGATGTCCATAAAGTGTTGAGTGGTTTCTCTAGGCATGGTCAGCAAACCACCCAAATTGGAATAACTGGAGGGAGCTCATTACCATCTGCAGATTTTTAGCCTCAAATTCAGACCGCTGAATCAACACTCTGGATGGGGCTTGGGATTCTGTGTTTTTAACAATTCCCAGGTGATTCTGATGCCCTGGCAAGCTGGAGAACTGCTGTGTTCAACTACGGCCTGGTATATAGTAGCTGCTCAATTAGGCAGCTGGGATGATTATTATACACGCCCTAACAATTTCCGGGCACACCATTCCTGATTCACAGAAGTTCAAATGCCATCACGTGTTCCAGAACCAGAGGTAACCCTGTACTCCGGCAGCAAAGCCTCAAAGAATGGTATAGGGCAGTGGTCGGCAAACGGCGGCTCGCGAGCCACATGAGGCTCTTTGGCCCCTTGAGTGTGGCTCTTCCACAAAATACTGACTTCTGCGCATGGGCCACGAAGTTTCAATCGCACTGTACGTGCGCGCCCGCACGTGGTATTTTGTGGAAGAGCCACACTCAAGGGGCCAAAGAGCCGCATGTGGCTCGCGAGCCGCAGTTTGCCAACCACTGGTATAGGGGATATGATGAACTGACCTTCCAAAGTCCCACACTGCACAGCCAGGGGAGCTAAAAAACTACACTGCCCAGAATCCCTTGCAGCTATGGTTCTGCTGTGATTTGGGTTCGACAATAAGTTGCACTTTTTTTGTTGTTGTTAATCCTCACCCGAGGATACTTTTTCCATTGACTTTTAGAGAGAGTGGGAGGGAGGGAGGGGGAGAGAGAGAAAGAGATCAATTGGTTTCCTCCTGCACATGCCCCCACTGGGAATCGAATCTGTAACCCTGGCATGTGCCCTTGACAAGGAATCGAACCCTTGACCCTTTGGTGAGCAGGTCAATGCTCTAACCACTGAGCCACCAGCCAGGGCAATAAGTTGCACTTTTGTGGGTTCCAGTAGGCAGAGGCAGAAGCCCCATTTTTGCCACTCCCACTGACCAGCCAGGTCATGAAAGCAATGACATTTGCTATGCTAGTGAGTAATTACTAGCCCTGAAAAGCAAGGACAAAGCGTATCCATTTTTGGCCAGTGAAAATATAGCCACTGTTGGGCCACTCTAGAGCAGGGGTGGGGGACCTTTCTTCTGCCAACGGCCATTTGGATATTTATAACATCATTTGCGGACAAAACAAAGTTATCAGCTTAAAAATTAGCCTGCTATATTTGGTCAAACATTTCATTAACGCACCCCTCGAGCCTTGGCAGGGCCAGCCCAGATGATTTCGCGGGCCTTTTCCGGCTCACGGGCCGGACGTTCCCCGCCCCTGCTCGAGCGCAACAGTCCTACAGAACCTTCTGCAATGACGATGTTCTCTATTGCACTTTCCAATACGGTAGCCACTAGCCCCATGTTTGAAATGTAGCTAGTGCAACCAAGAACTGAATGTTTAATACTATTTACATTTTAAAGTTAATTTAAGTGTCAACAGCCACATGTTTTGGACAGGTTAGTTCTAGAGCCAACACTGGCAGCGACCACAGCTTCCTGGTTCCTGGATCGCAGCTAAAGCGACGGCAGTTTCTTGAACTCAGCGGTTCCTGGCTCCCCACCCTCCTGCCTGTGGCAGCACAGCAGCTCCCCTGGAAGGTCGGTTCGATGGCGTTCTGGGCGTCCTTCCAGCTGAGGACCCTCCCCCCCAGCCCTTCCCAGCGAGTTTGTAAGGGTTTGAGTTTATGAGGGAGTGTTAAATCCTCTGCTTAAAAAGACGGAGCGTGGCTTCCACCTGATGCCCTGAGTCCTGACCCACCGGGAAGGGGCGTTAAGTCCCCTGTGCCCTTACCTCGATGATCCTGCTCCACAGGGGCTGGTGGGACTCCACGCTCCACAGATGCACCAGTTTATCATGCCCGCACGTCACAAACTGGGCCCCGCTGGGGTGCGTGGCCAGGCCCCACACCTCTTCCATGTGGCCCTGGCGGAAATGGGAGACAGCAGATTGGAGACCACAAATCCTGGCCCTTTCCCCAAAGACTGATGCCAGAAAGAGGAGCTGCACTAGCCCAGCAACACACGTGCCCACAGGTGACCCAGGGAAGGCCCTTTCCCAGTGTCTGAAGGAGGCTGTGATAAGGCAGACCTGTGCCAGTGTGTGGCTCGAGACAAATGCCCCCCCTCCCCTCCGATTCTACTTCCCAGCTTGCACAGTGGGAGACAAGAGAACAGACGGGTAGGAGCTTGACTTTGGGAGTCAGCTGGCACCCAGAGGGCTGTGGGGTCCCATGTGCCCCGCCTGGGGGGTCTGCCTTCAGCTCTCTCTTACTGACTGTGGCAGTCACCTGGGCAGGGGACTTCTCCTTGGGGCCACAGTTTGACCTTCTGTAAAATGGGGCTAATCACAGTGTTGGGACTCAAATCATGGAGGAGACCATGAGGCTAGAATAAAGTGATTACAACGTGGAAGTGGGCGTTACTATTGTTTCCAACATAGACTATTAATATATTGTTAATTAATAATAAGTCATTGCCTTGGCCGGGTGCTCAGTTGGTTAGAGCATCATCCCGATAAGCCATGGTTGCGGGTTTGGTCCCCAGTCAAGGCACGTATAAGAATCAACCAAGGATGCATAAATAAGAACAACAAATCAACGCTTCTCTCTGTCTCTTCCTCTCTCTCTCTCAAATCAATAAAATAATAATGGTATTAACATTAATAATATAACTATAATAATTGGTATCAATATAACAGTAATGCTAATAATCTAATTAGAATATAATAAAGCCGAACCGGTTTGGCTCAGTGGATAGAGCGTCGGCCTGCGGACTCAAGGGTCCCAGGTTCGATACCGGTCAAGGGCATGTACCTGGGTTGTGGGCACATCCCTACTGGGGGCTGTGCAGGAGGCAGCTGATCGATCTCTCTCATCGATGTTTCTAACTCTCTATCCCTCTC